AGCAGGGGCATGCGCTCACCTCATCCTGGAAGGCCTTTCTCCGAGTCTCTGTCGCCAGCCCCGCCGCCGCCCTGCGGGTCGCGCGGTCGCCCGCCGCGCCCCGGGCCATCGGGCAACGGCGGGGGGGCTTTGCGCCGACAGCGGAGGCAGTGCTGGCACCGCTACCCGAGGATATGTATCTTTAGCACCTTCGTCAAGCTCTTTCCGCCCCGTCGAGCGCGGGGCTCGCATTCGCCGCGTGGAATGCGAGGGCGCCCTGTCATCATGAGGCGGAAGTGGCGGCGCGGCAGAGCGACGACCTCGCATCGACAGTCCGCGCTGGGGTTGCGATCGGCATGCAACGGGTCCACGGGTCGGCCGTGCGTTTGCAGATGCTGATCGATCGCGCGGGGCTCGAGTACCAGATGTCCACTGGCTTCGGCGACGGGGCCAACTAGTCCCTCGGCGGCGTCGCCACAATCTTCCCCTTCAAAGAGCGCAGCGGCTTCTCCTTCCCCCCATCGGCATTCGTGGAGGGGGGGGGGGGGGGCCTGCGTCTGACGGCCGCCGTCGCCTCGGGCGCGCGCGAGGACTGCGCTATGAAGCATTGGGGCATCCAGGACCGCGACCTCTCGCTCGAGCAGGCAGCGGTCGCGGCGGCGCCCATCAGGCAGGACCCCCGTATCATGGCGATTTTCCGCGGCGATATTTCGCCATTGTCTCGGGCGACTTCAAGTGTTGGGAGAACGCGGAGGCGGGGGGGCCCTCTGGTGCCTTGGGGCGGCCCGCGCGCCGCCCTCCACCCTCTGGGCAGCACCCGGAATCATGCCCTCGCCGAGGCGACGGAGACTGCTCCTTGCAAGCCCGCGCGCTGGCACCCGGGCCGCCGGATAACCGCGCCGATTGACGCGACGTGGATTGGGGCCCCCCGCTGGCCGATTGCGCGGCCGCGTGCGCGGAGAACCGCGTGGGCTTCAATTCCAGGACACATCGGACCACGCGATGTTCTCGCTCTTGCGGGCCCGCCCAAGAGGCGACCCATCGCTGGCGCGATCGACCCGATCCCCAGCTTCGTCACCGACGCTGCGAAGTTCACCGAGATGGTTGCTGCGCATGGGGCCCAGATCCCTCTCCAGTCGCCGCCCCCCGCCTGACCGCGCCCACTGCTGCGCGGAGCTCCTCCACGCCCCGGCGGCGGCTGCCAGGGGCGCGCCCTTCGGGGGGGGGCCTGGGCAGAAGGCGCCAACGGCGCTGATGCGGCGGCAGCTCGGGCGCACCGCGCGGCGGCAAGACCCGAAGCACGATCGAGATCTGCCCTGATCCTGAACCTGCTGGGCGACGAGTGCATCGCCTTCGACCTGAAGAGTTCTCGCGGCGCCACCGGCTGGCGCGGCGCCGCCCGGCCCGGGGGCAGCTGCGACGTCGCGGGAGGGGCGTCGACGCCGAGCCCAGGGAGTGCGCCAAGGCGGCCCTCGCTCGGCAGCAGCGGGCCCTCCGCCGCCGCGCGGCCCCCTGGGCGCCGACCTCGGCGCGGCGCTTCCCGGGCGGCGTCGAGCTCCCCGGCGGCGCCTTCATCCGCGCGGAGGCGGACGTCCAGCGGGCCCCGGCGGACTACCGGCGCGACTTCTTCGGGGGCGACGCGCGCGCGGCAGCAGCTCGCCGACGCCGGGCCCCGCGAGCAGTCTCTGACGCCCATGACTTTCAGGTTTGGGGCCCTCGCGCCGCTCCGCAGCGCGCCTCCCCGACAGGTGGCGCGCGAGCTCGAGGTCCCGGCGGGGTGCCTGCAGCGCTTCGGCATGCGCGGCATGGACTGGGCCCCCCCGCTGCCGCCGTCCGCGCGCGCCATCGACCTCGCCCTCCGCAGGGCGCGCGCGGCGGCGCCTGGCCCCGATGGCCTGGGCCCCAAGGGCGTGCTCGCCGCCCCCTGCGGGGCCCGGACCTTGGCGGCCGCGACGGAGCGGCAGCTGGAAAGGGCCCCCGAGACGACGACCCGCAGGAGGTCCTCCGCCGCGCCGGAGAGACCAGGCCGCCGGCGCTGGAGAACTCCTCTAAGAAAGCGACCATGCGGGCCCTCCACGCGCGCGTGAAGAAGGCAGTGGAGACGCGCTGCGTCGGCGCACAGCGAGGCTTCCTCCTGGGCCGCAACATCTGCAACAACATCGTGGAGCTTGACGCGCAGGCGCGCGTTGCATCTATGACGGCGAAGGACGACGACTTCCACTTCCTCTTCTCCTTCGACTGGCTGGCGTCGAGCACGGCTGGCTCTTCGCAGCGCTGCGCGCCGTGGTGGCGCCGCGCGGGCCCCTGCGCGCGCTGAGGGTCAACTACGGCGGCGTCGTGACCCTGGCGGCCTCGTGCTCCCGAGTGGCGCTCTAAACGCCGCGCGCTCGGGCATCCCCCGGGGCGACCCCGCCAGCGGCGCGGTCTTCGCGGCGGCGTCCCACCCTTTCGGAAGGGGACTTGGAGATCCACCTGGACATGAAGCGCAGAGGGATTTCGAGGTGGTGCGCCGATGACCTCGGCACCTTGGCGAGGGCCAGCCGCGGGCTCGCGACCTTGGCCCGAGTCTTCCGCGCGGCGCGAGCGCCGGCAGGCCCGCGCGCTTAGCTGGCCAAGTACTTCGCCATCCCGCTCGCCGCCCCCCTCTCGGACGAGGTCACCCTTTGTGCGAGGGGGCGCCTGGCGGCAGCTGACCCCGCCTGGGAGACCTTCCAAGCCGACTCCCTTAAGTACCATAAGATTAGTGACGATGGGACCCTGGGCGACCACTGCTGCCCAATGGCGCCTCCTGCTCGCGAAGCGCGCTGACCGAGTCGGAGAGATGCCAGGGGCCGCGCCGACGCCCGCTCCGCCGCGTTCCTCTATCGAGAGCGGCGCCTCTCCGTTCTGGAGCACAAGCGCAGCTCGTTGAAGCGCCGAAGGACCTCGAGAGGATCGAGCGCGGCCTGCTGGCTCGGCTGCTCCGACTCCTTGGGAGCTTCTTGGGGGGCGGTGAATGGCATGGGCTCCCTGAGGTCGGATGGGGGCCGCCCATTCCTTCGGCCCCCCCCTGCGGTGCTCGGCCGCGCTGATGCTCGCTGCCGCGGTGGCGCTGACATCATGGCGAGAGACAGCGGTTGACCCGCGCCGGGCTGCCATATGGAATCTCCCGATCGCGCGCGCGGTCGCAAGACAGGACGGCCGTGGCCCACATGGCGGCAGAGTGACGCCTTTGCCGCGACCCTTGAGCTGGCGGCGAACGAGTGGGAGCTCGGCCCGCGCCATCGCCGCCCGTGAACTGCAGTTGGCCCTCGCCGTGCCAGCCCGCCATGCGCCCCCAAGAATGGGCGGGGGCCAGTAGCTGGCGCCGCGGGTGCGCGCGCAGAGTCTCCTCTACTCCCCCCTCCTTTCGTCGTCGCTCCCCGACTCCTGCGCCGACCGGCTCGCCGACTCCCGCGCCGAGCAGCACCACTGGGACAATCAATCACGGTTTGGACCAGCTGGGCCGCTCGCGGCAGCACCCCGGTGATCTCCGCATCGATGGGCTCCTTGGGAGGTTTACGGGGTGGTGACCGGGCAACCCGCACGGACACCACCTTCACGGCCTGCGGCATCGCTTTCTGACGGCGGGCGCTGTTGCTTCCAGAGCTTCGCGCGCTCTAGGCGTAGGCTGCCGCTACCAGCTGTCTCGCGTTCCTCCTCATCTTTTCTCCCTCGTGCATGTCCCTGTGATCAGGACTGCTTTCTTCGTTTAGCTCTTGCGTGGCAGCCCGCAGGCGCTAGGCACAGCTCCGGGCTTGCACGTCCGCGGGAGCCCTGGCCCCGCGCCGTCATGCCATACTTCAGACCCGCGTTTTCCTGTTTTTGGTTTTAAGCTGTTAGCGGCCTAATTGAGTTTCGGGCGGTATTCAGGCCCCGGCGATTTTATTTTCCCCCCTCCTGTCCTCTCCCCTTTGCTTCCTCCTCTTTTCCCCGTCTTGCTCCCGCCAGCTGTTTGATAGTAGTTCGGGCCTTCTTACTGTCAGCCGTGGGGTTTGGCTGACTGGTGTTTTTTTCCCCGTTCTGTGGGCACTCTCCTTCCGCATGTCGTGGTGCGTTGCTTATTTACATGAATGGTCGACCGGGCCATGTGGGGATGCACGCACTGCGCCAGTTTTCTTCGCTCTCCTGTCTCGCTCCTCCTCTTCCTCCTCCTTTGTGTCCCGTGCTTGCTAGCCTGACGCTTCTCAATCGCGTGTGGTGGCGCAGCCGTGCTGCGGTGATCCGCTTCGCTTTTGATTATTTGCCGTCGCTGTTTGCGGGAAAAAACCTTTCGTCGTCGCTCCCCGCCCCGCCTGTCCCTCCTCACTTCCATCTGCGTTTGGGCACGCGTCTCAGATGCCTCTCCTGCCGATGCTGCCACGATCGGCTGGTCGGCCGTCGTGTCGGCGATGCGTCGTGTGCCCCCGCCCTTGAGGAGCGCCAGCATTACGACGTGGGGAGGTGGGTGGGTCGCAGAGTCCTGGATGCGCAGCCCGTGCAGGGGCTGCGTTTTGGGATGGCCTGGGGCCCGCGACTCTTCCAAGCATTCCTATGCTGAGTGCTCGCCCATGTATATGCTCATCCGCAGACAGTTCGGATCTGATTTAGCCGCCCCCCCCTTTTGGACCCCTCTCCTGGCTCTTGGTCTCATCCACTCTAATCCCGAAGCCCTTAAATTCACTCCAGTGCAGCAGTGCATGTTCAGTTGTACCGGTGAGCTCACCAACAGAGTAAGAGTCACCATCTCCTCTTTAACAACGATGACGCTCGCTCGCTCGCTCGCGCGGCCCTTCTAGCTGTCGAGCTGCCCCTCGGCGGTAAGCGCTGCAGGAGGCCTGCCCTCTGCGGCGATAGGTCGGGATGACACGCGGCCCCCCCAGACGCTCCGACCTCCTCCTCCTCCTCCTCCTCCTTCTCCTCCTCCTCCTCTTCCTCCTCCTCCTCCTCCTCCTCCTCCTCTTCCTCCCCAGCATGCCCATCCTCCACCTGGGGCGACTGGGGATGCAGGGCGGAAGTGGCAGGGCGCTTTCTGGGCGCTCGCCCTGGACCTGCTCGTCGGCGCGACCAACGATAGGACGGGCGGGGATAGTTCTCGTCCCACGCTCCTTTCCTCCTTCCCTCTTCCATTCCCTCCTTTTCTCCTCCCCTCCCCTTCCCCTTTCGCATTAAGCCGATACGGGTACTACCATCATCTGTCGCCAGATCCAGCCCGAGCGGTGCAGCTTTTCTTCCGCGCACATCATGTGAAACATTGGTTTCCCATCTATGTTATCTCAAGTGGAGCGATGGTGATTCTTCTGTTTCAAAATGCTGTTCCTCTTGCAGAGTTGGCCTCCTTTCAGGGTGGGCGTTTTGCCTCCGTCGTTCAGAAGTGCGCTCTCGCCACAGCGTGAACCTAATTTCTGGAGCCGAGTCCCTCATCGTCGTTGTCGCCCGCTCCTCCGCCTTCCCCTGGTCCTCCAGATCTTTCCCGCTTCTCCTATTCCTGCTCCTTATGTTGCGGTATTTATCCTCCTCATCCCCATCCTCCTCCTTCCCCCCCCCCCCGTGTTCATCCCCCTGCTCATCCCTCTCTGCTTGCGCATAACGCGGTGGGATCTTTTTGGAGGCTCCAGTTCCGTTGTGATACGCGTCGGGGGCAGGCCCCGCCGGCCGTCTGCAAGTACTTCGCAGGAGCCTCCCTGGTGGCCCTGCCCAAGAAGGACGGAGGCCTACGCCCAGTGGCCGTCGGGGAGGTGCTCTGGCGCCTCGTCGGCAAGTGCCTGTGCCACGAGGTGGCCGACGCCGCGCGCGACCGACTGGCGCCCCTCCAGATCGGCGTTGCGGTCCCCGGCGGCACCGAAGCGGCCGTGCACGTGGCGCGCCAGTGGTGGACCCGCCACCTCGGTGACCGGAGGAAGGTATTCGTGAAGCTGGATTTGTCCAACGCCTTCAACACCCTGGACCGGCAGGCCCTGCTCCGCGCTGTCCACGAAGAGTTCCCCGCGCTGGCACCCTGGGCCGACTGGTGCTACTCCCGCCCGTCGACTCTCTTCCTGGGCAAGAAGACCTTCGACTCCGAGAGCGGGGTGCAGCAGGGGGACCCCCTAGGGCCTTTGCTGTTATCTCTTGCCCTCCAGCGCGCCGCCGAGGCCGCCCTGCGCGCGCCGCGCGACGACGCCGACGGCGTCGTCGCCCTGATCTTCTTCTACTTGGACGATGGCTGCCTCGTGGGCGACGCGCCGGCCGTCGCTCGCCTCCTCCGCTTGCTCGTGGCCGAGCTCGCCGCGGTGGGCCTCCAGCTGAGCACCGGCCGGGCAAGTGCGAGGTTGTCCCCACCGGCGGAGGCGCCTCCGACGTGTCTCTGAACGGCTTCCCAGAGGGGTTCCGCCTCCGCACCGATCGCAGCTTTGAGCTGCTCGGCGCGCCAATAGGGGGCGCTGACTTTTGCGCGGGGCACGCGAGGCAGCGGGTCGCTGACGCCGCCGCTCTGCTTGAGGCTCTGGGGGCGCTCGAAAACGCGCAGGTCGCGCGGCACCTCCTGCGGCAGTGCGCTTCTTTCTGCAAGCTGGGCTACTCCGCGCGCGTGGTGCCGCCCACTGCGCACACCGCCTCCTTGGTGGCCATTGGCGACACTGTCCGGGCTTGCCTGGAGCAACTAAGCGGCTGCTCTCCCTCCGACACCTCCTGGCAGCAGGCTCAGCTCAAGCTCGACAAGGGAGGGCTCGGCCTGCGCTCCGCCGCGCAGCACGCCGCCGCCGCCTACGTTGCTTCGCGAGCAAAAAGCACAGACCTCTGCAGGCGGCTCTACCCCAGCTACCCCAACAGCACTGACCACGACGGAGGTAGCCTGGCGGCGGCGGTGCAGGCCCACAACGCAGTCGCGCGGGACGCCGACAAGGTGGTGTTCGACCACGCCCAGCACAGCAACCACAAAGCCCTCTCCGACGCGGTGGGCAGCGCCACGCCCGAAGGGCTCCTGGCGGGCGCCACCCTGGCCGACAAGGCGCACCTCTCCCTGGCGCAGGCCCCGGGCGCCGCCGCGTGGCTCCAGGCGCCGCCCTGCGAGGCCACCGGAACCGCCTTCCCGCGCGGTCTCATGCAGGTCGGCCTGCAGAGGCGGCTGCGAGTCAAGCTCTTGCAGGAGGATTGCTTTTGCCCAACCTTTGGCGAGGTGATGGATGTCTACTGCGACCACGCCTTGGTTTGCGCCTGCCGCGGCGACAGGACCAAACGCCACGGCGCCCTGCGCAACCGGGCCTTCTTCGACGCCCTGGCCGCTGGTCACGCCGGGGCTGAGTTGGAGCGCCCGGGGCTGCCACCCACGCGCCCCGCCGGGGAGGCCCCGCCGGGGAGGCCACCCCGGCCCATGGCGGCGAGTGGGGCCGCGAGGCGCGCAGGGCCTTCGGGGTCCTGGCCAAGCGGGTGGATGACGCCACGGGGGAAGACGCCGCTTTGGTAGCGGACCAACACGCCCAGCGACTCTCCGTCTCCCTGCACAGGGAGAACGCGCGGGCGGCGTTGCGGCGCCTCCTTCAGAGAAAGTGTATACAATCAAGACCGTGCTCAGCGTAGAGGCCGGCCCAGATCTGCTCTCCTCCCTCGCCGGCAGCACCAACGACGAAGATGACGACGAAAATGATCACAAAAAGAACGCACAGGTGTTTTTCTCCCAATGGCAGGACCAGGTGATCTTTGAGCGTCCTCTGCTGCCGGCGTGTCCCGTCCGCGCGATGGCGGAGCCAAAGGGTCTGTGCGATAATAAAACATGAAAGCTGGAAACGGCATCGGAAATAGATGTGCTGGCGGGAGTTCTCACACATGACCGCTGCATGCTACACTGTCGTGGCCGCTAACACTACTACTCCCTGTTTTCGCGTCTACACTGCTTCCACCGCCTGTGGCCCCCATCACAACCGACCAACAGTCGCGCATCCAAATACTTGAAGCCCTCCGGGCGGGACGATAATTCATCACTACGGCGTAACTCGATCAGCGGCCCATGTGGAGTCGCAGCCTGATTTCGGAGTCCTCTGACGTACCCAATCCTGATGCGCAAGCGGTCAAGAGAACAAGCTCAACTACATCAAACTGGCGCCTCCAGACACAGTCTGGAGGGGCGGGAGTGGTCGTGGCCCGCCCGGCCGCGGCCACGGCGGCCTCCACGGCGGGCGCCGCGTGAGCGCCGCCGGGCGCTGCTTAACGCCCCCTGCCCACTCCCCCCGCCCTGGCTGGGTAGCACGGGCGCCTCCCCCGCGCCCCTTCTCGCGGACGGCGTGCCGGCGCCCCCCCGCACTGCCGGCCGCCCCTTCCTCGGCGGGGCGGTGGGCGATACCGCAGAGGCCCCCTCCCCGCCAAGCCGCAGCGCGCTGGGTTCGGTCAGGCCCCCCCCCGCGACGCCCTTCCCGGGCCGACCCCGCCGACGCCCTTCTCGACGCCCTTGCGCCCACGACCCCCCCCGACGCCCTTCCCGACGCCCGCGCCGGCCCCCCTGTCGCCGCCGTAGTGTCCGTAGGTTCGTCGCGGGTGGCCTTTCCCTCGCCACTGGCCCGGCCCTGCTGCTGCTGCTGCTGTTGCTGCGGCTGCTGCTGCTGCTGCTGCTGCTGCTGCTGCTGCTGCTGCTCCTCATCCTCCTCCTCCTCCTCCTCCTCCTCCTCCTCCTCCTCCTCCTCCCCCTCCTCCTCCTCCTTCTCCTCTTCCTCCCCCCTGCTTTGCTTCCCTCCCTTTCCTTTCCTCCTGCTTCCTGCCTGCTGTCTCCGCCTGGCCCGTTTTCTGCCTGCCCGCCCGCCCCGCCGGCCCTGGCCTCCCGCCTGGGCGTTCGTCGTCGTCTGCCTGCTTCTCCCCTCTTCGCCGCGCTGCCTGCCCGGAACCACGAGGCGGGCTATAGTTTACTTAGCTGGCGAGGCTCCGGCGCAAGCGCCGAGGCTCCGGCGCCAGCGATCGGCCCCGAGCCGCGATAGCCAGGCCTGGCCCCAGCTGCTGCGCAGCCGTGGGGCGACAGGCGCTGCCAGTCAGGTGGCGCGCGGAAGGCTCGCGGCTGCCCCCCAGGGCGCGGTTGCCTTGCCGACAGAGCGACTACCGTGCATGCGCGGCGGCTGCGACGCCTGCCCCGATTACCTTCGGGGGCAGTGGAGGTGGGTTTTCGTCCCTGAGGTCTTCGAGGTGTGGATCGGACCGCGCCCCGGGGCTGCCAGCGCTGCTCATCTTGGCCGCCCGGACGCAGGAGAGCAGCAACGTCAAGTTCTGGGCGTCGCTCATGGCGCCCAGATCGCTGGCGACGCCCACCGCGGTTGCGACGTCTGCGCCGGCAGCGGTGCCGTCGCGCCAGCGCCCGAGGTTGGGGCGCCACAGCGGGACAAGACGGCGGATGCCGACGATGCGTCGGCCCGCGCCGTCGTCGCTACGCTTCTGAAGGCAGTGCCCGCCTTTCCTACCCTGGTGGCCATGCCCTCTGGCAGCGAGCTTCAGGAAGATAGAGATCTTTTTGGTGCTGCTGCAGGCGCTGATCGTGCGCATCTCGATGACGAAGGTCGTCGGGATGATAGTTGTTCTCACCACCTGCGCCGTGGAGATGAGGACATTCGTGATAGTGCAGGTGATGTTGGTGCTTCAGCCGCGCGTGCTCCGGCAGCGCCCACTTCGACCTCTTCTGCGCCGTCGGGTTGCCCTGGCGACGACGAGGATGTAGTTTAGTTCGGCAGTGTGGCTGATGCGAAAGGTCAGTTCGCGCCCAGCCTGGAGATTACTCCCCCGTGCTTCGTCATGGACTCCATGGACAACGAAGTGTACGAGGGGGAGCCGTTGAGGTTAAATGTGCGGCCGCAGCACACGTGGAAGTACGTCCGCAAGCTTGCAGTTCGACTGGCTGCCCAAGCTACGGGCCTCGACACGTCGCCGACGGTATCTGCGCGCTGAACGGTGACGGCGTTAGCAAGGTGACCGTAATCAACGGCACCAAGTTTCACTTGATCTTGGAGGGCGTTGGCGACGAAGACCGGCTTCTCATCATTGCCGAGGAGCCGCTGCTCACAGCTCGGAGGAATTGGTTTTGCACGCGAGGCCGGATGTTGATTCGATCGGTAAGCCATGCGCCTT